CTCATTCACTGGGAATAACAAATCATTGAGCGGATGCAGAGTCATATAGACCGGGGGAATCCCCCCATCTCCCCACCCTCTGAATATTATGTATCATAATGTAACTACGTGTAAACGTTTTTTTGGCGGTTTTTGCTTGGAAAACCAGCTGTAAGCCGAGCGATCACATCGTTTTGCTCCTGACTACTCTACTGAGAGAAGAAGACTGAACGAGTTCAGCACGCTCTTTGAGAGCTCTTCGTGTTGGCGGTACGGTGCTTCAGCGGTGTTGGTTTCCCGTGTCGAGTGGGTTGCACACATCAAGCTGCACTTCCCCCTGTTTGTGTTGCAGGCAGCCATCTCCCCTGTGCGCTTCAGCTGCAGCATGTAAAATGTGTCTGAAAAAATAACAAACATCAGGAAAAACAAGGAAATGTAAATCCTCTGAACATTTTGAAGATTATTATTACATTATTCTGAAGGTTATTTTTCCCGTTGTTTTCTGTATGCTCGTGTCGCTTACAGTTCTCTGATTTTATTGTTGTTTGCAACGTTGCAACGTACTTGGCAATATTTTAAAGATATTATTTTAGGTATTTTGCATGGTCTGTTATTGGAGTAGTGTCACCTGGGTGGGAGTTTTAACTCATTCACTGGGAATAACAAATCATTGAGCGGATGCAGAGTCATATAGACCGGGGGAATCCCCCCATCTCCCCACCCTCTGAATATTACGTATCATAATGTAACTACGTGTAAGCTTTTTTGACGGTTTTTGCTTGGAAAACCAGCTGTATTTTTCTAGCATTCAAATAACAATGGATGAACCTGAAAAGATAGGAGGAAGGGGGTGTCATAGTTTTCGTCCTAATTCCTGAGGTGGCGTTTGTGGACGAGTCATGTTCTCATTGCGTCCAGGCCCCCATCAACCTGGCGGTGAGCGGAAGAGCAAGAGGCCTCGGGACGGGCGACCCAGAGAGAGAGGGATGCACCACTCCCTTCCCCGGAGGAAGGACGGGTGGAGAATCTGGTTTCCAAAAATCTCGACAGGACAGCGGTTTTCCTCTCTTCAGGTCCCTGCGTTCCACCTCGCTTCCCCACCGCGGGTATGTCAGTGGTCCCGCTGGTCCAGCTTGTGTGGTGTCTGGGTACCTGGCTAGCCATACTGTCTCGCTGATTCCTGCGGACCATCAGACTCGGCTATGCGATTCAGTTCGCCCGGCGTACCCCCAAGTTCAGCGGCATCCGCTTCACATCAGTGAAGGCAGCTGATGCTCCTGTCTTGTGTGCAGAGATCGCAGTCCTACTCGGGCCCTTCACCGGTTACCGTTCAAGATGTTGACGCAGGAACACATCTTCGGGTGCATCCGTCCCCAAGATTGGTTTGCAGCGATCGATCTGAAGGACGCGTACTTTCATGTGTCGATCCTTGTGACTGCTGCACTGAGACAGGGGGCTGCTTATGCCATGTGATTTAGCTAGCAGCCACAAGCTTTTCTGTGCCCTGTACACGGCTGGCCACTGCTCCAAGGCAGGAGCTGTTTATAGCACGTGATGTACAATACATATTAAATGGTTTTACTAAAGAAGAAAAAAATATATATATTAGGTTTAATCTTAAAAAATTAAGATAAAATGATTTGCTAACGAGTGAGCGACTGGGACTCCTCCACTCAGCGCACTGCTCTGAGGCAGGGGACTCTTTGCATTGCGTGAATGAGTGAGCGATCAGGACTTCTCTATGCTCTGATCATGGCTGGTCGCTGCTTAAATGCGGGGGGCTGTGTGCATTGTGTAAATAAGTGAGCCACTGGACCAGGGCTGGATTGGTAATCGGGCATACCGGGCATTTTCCCATCTCCCCCAAAATTCTAGGACTGAAAAACAGTTTAATGCTGTAATTTTGCAGCAGGTATGTATGTGCAGGCTCAGCATGAAATGTTAGTCCAGATGTCACAGCCTACATTGCACTATTTTCCATTTAAGACCTGTATATCAGTAGTTCAAACATTTTTTAATTCCCTTACAAATTGCAATTTGTTGCATGACATGTGAACACTTTGTTGTGCAGTTTTAGCACTGTTTTATTCACTATTGTTATGATTCACAACTGTACTGTTGCCTGTTTCTACATGATATTTTTATTAATTGTGCAATGTTAAGTCAGCACTCCTGTTTTTAACATTTGTGCAGTTTTAGCATTGTTGTTTTAATAATTCACAATGTGGCCTCTTTCCACCTGTGAATTTTTGTTTTTTATTTTGTGAATATGCAATGTTAAGTAAGCACTTGTTTTAAACACTTGTACCCACAAATAAACTGTTATTGAACATGCACCTCATTTGATGACATTAAAGATAAGTTTAAAACATTAAACTTACTACTGTCTGTATTTGCAAAGCCATTTAAGGATCTCTCCTTCAGAATTATTTTTTTTTAAGGTAAGTGGTTGCAATTTCTTTTAAAATGTTGAAAGTTAGTCAACGAAATGTGTTTATTTAAATGTAGCTAAAATAAATTGATTGCAACCACTTACCTTAAAATTTTTTAGTAAATTCAATTAATAATTTTTTATCAGTAATAAATAAATAATTTAAGAGGAAGTAATATAATTAAATAGGGCTGAAATTACTAAATTTTTGTATACTAAGGTAACTAAATAAAATTGGTCAAGTTCAACTAAATTTGTTTGTTTAAATTTAGATTAAATCAATTGATTGCAACCACTTACCTTAAACAAATTGAGTAAATTAAATTAATCATTTTTTTCAGTGGCTGACCGTTGCTCTGAGGCAAGGAGCTGCTGCTCTTGCGTGAATAAGTGAGTGATTGAGGCCTTGCTGTGTTCTGCACACATTTGGGAGAGGAAAAGCAGTGAGTGGACAGCTTATCCGTCATAATATAAAATATGTCGTACTCACCGGAACACTACACAGAATGGCAATCCAGGCACCATCCACTGGAGAGCGTGCCTTCAATGGCGAGCGTTAGGAGGCTTCATAGCTATGTGAAGGAGAAAGATTCTGAGGTAATATGGCACATGGTGCTGCATTTATAGCGGCTAAGCCTGCCAATCAGACAAGCGCTCAAACGCCATTGGCTATTGCAGCACAATAGCGCGATTCAATGAGGCTTCAGGAAGGTTTGGAGAAAGGGATTTCACCTAGTATCCTTTGCAATGTCTAGAGACAGACTTGAAAGGGAACCAAAACGTCTCAGGTTACTTATGTAACCATGGTTCCCTGAGTAGGGAACGAGACACTGCGTCCTCTAGGGGTCGCTATGGGGAACGCCTCGTCGTGACCCGTGTCTGAAGCATACATTGAAAAAACACCAACTCGTTGGCCGGCGACAGCCATGACGTCACTACCGGTGCGACATAGATCGTGTGTGTCATCAGATGTTAAACAACGTCAACACGGATGCACACATCCTTAAATGCTTTGCTAGTGCTCGCCATAATGAGATAAATAGAGATCGCTCTTTTACCACAGAAATGCACGCTTCAAACAAAACAGTCAATGAAGACGAAAAAGAGAATGATGTGTGCTCCCGGTGCCTATTTATACTATAGTCGCACCGGTAGTGACGTCATGGCTGTCACCGGCCAACGAGTTGGTGTTTTTTCAATGTATGCTTCAGACATAGGTCACGACGAGACGTTCCCCATAGCGACCCCTAGAGGACGCAGTTCGAAGTTCCCATGAAAGGGAACTAACATTGCCTTTTTTGGAAAAATAAATGCTTGATATCCCAGAGATATCAAGTAGGAATAACCTCCAATTTTGAATACAATTCAGCATAAGAGATAGGTGCTGATGCATAGGTTTTTGTTATATCCTGCTTTTTGTGCAAGAGATTCTCCTAAGATATTCTCTGTCTGAAGCAAACAGATGTATCTGATGAAAGCAAGTCCTCGGGACTCTGACAGGAACAAATGGAGTTTGATTGGCGACAAAGCAAACAGATCAATTAATGCCTAAATCAATCTGAGCCATCTGACATGAGTTGCACCATCCCTGTGTCACTTAACACAGCACTTTCAACACGTCTGTTGCGATGCTTATAATGAGCACACTTGTTTAGAGCTGCATGAGAGCAAAATAATTTCTGTCAAACTCAGAATGGGAAAATTAACTAGTCTCAATAGTCATTACAGGGAAAAGAGCTGTGGTTTTTTACAACTGTGGTTCAATGTAAAGTCTTTTGCAATTTGAAATTAATTGTCAGTTCTGTTGTGAAAATATTGACATTCATAAACTGATATAATGTACAATACATCTTAAATGGTTTTACTAAAGAAGAAAAAATTTATATATATATATATATATTTTAGGTTTAATCTTAAAAAATTAAGATAAAATGAGTTGCTAATTGTGCAAAATAAATAAAATAAAATAAACTCATATAAATGACATAAAGTACTGAGCAAACTCTTATAGGCACATACAGTAGATATTTCACTAAAAACATTTTTTAAATGGTAATTTATATCTTTTGCATTGTCAGCCAGGGATTACATAAAAAGAAAGATCTAAAATGCCTAAACTTATAGAACTGTGACATCTTCTTCAAGATGCTTAAAACTAAATCTAAAGATGAGAAAACTGAACCATTACACCCCTATACTGCACATTGATATAAATAATTTAGAAACACTTAATTTAAACCACATTGGTTTTGTAAGAAATAGATGTTTAATAACATGAGAAATAACATTTTACTTACAAAGTCTGTAAACAATTCACCACCATGATGCTTTATGACAAAATCCACAGAGCATTTCAAACAAGAAAACGAGAACATCTTGACCTTTACCACACCAAAATAGACTCATGTGCTGTGAGAGGGTATAAATATATAAAAAAGGAAAATTGACATTCTATCCTCAAGAGCATTGAGTGACACACTGAGACTCCATGTAAAAACACACACTGAGACTGATTTAGAAAACATTTACTTGGAATCAAAACTTTGAGAACAACATAAAAATACTATTTTCCACTTTTTCCCCACTAAATGGTCTTTTCCAAATCACCACGAGTAGCACAAAATAACCATACAGTATGTGACCACTCAACATGCAGCTGAAACAATCAAGTATTCCCATGCAGTGGAAGGGCTTCCAAGTGAACAGGTAGAAAAAAATGGCACACTATCCCCTTTGTTGTCAGGAACAGCCAACTGGAGCTCTCTGATTTTGGGCCTCTGGATCCCAGGACAGAACATCTTGTGCATGAATTCTCTTCTGTTGTTGGTCTAAATATGAGAACTTGGACCTCAGGCTATGGCGATGGTGGAGCCTTCAGGGAATTACAGGAACCTCCCTGGCTTCCCCCTCCAGTACTGTGATACTGCAAAGAGTGCAGGAGAACAAATCACTAGTCATCTTAGTTCACTCAAAACTTCATTAGCCATGCTTGCATTGCTTTGACATTACTGCATTGGACATGTACATTCAGTTCAAGGTTCACAGGTCAAGCACTTAAAAACAAAAAATTAAGTAATAAAAATGTTAAAACAATAAATATACAAGTATTTAAACATCATGTTAGCATTTAATTTAGTAAAATGTTATTAATAATATTAATAATGAAATACGCATTTGAGATTTGAATTATGCACATTTAAAACAGTAGGTTGTTTGCACATGACGTCATTGCTGTGGCGAAATACAGCTGGAGGGCAGGAAGTGATTTTTCTATATAGGAATCGCTAGCGAGACGGATAATGCTCATGTGTGCAAATGGTTAATATAATGTATAATAATACATTAAGATATTAATAATATATTCATATATTATTATTAATAATAATAATCATAATAATACAATATCACAATAATAATATTAATATATAAATAGATAAGGGCTGCCAGTGTTGGGGAGTAACTAGTTACATGTAATGGCGTTACATAATTTAATTACAAAATAAATGTAACTGTAATCAGTTACAGTTACTAAAAAAAATGTGTAATTAAATTACAGTTACTTATGAAAATGTTAACGATTACAAAGGGGATTACATTTGAATATTTACACACTTCCACATACAGATTTAATTGATTTCTTTCCCAAATTGCGCTGACTACTCTGAGACGTACGGCCCTATAATTTCCGCGATGCGGAAAACATGCACAGACTGGTTCGTAGAATCCAGTCATAAAAACGGAATTCATAGCCTAACGCGGACGGAATATGCCACATTTTGGACGAATAAATCAAAAGTAGGTCAGTGCACTTGAATCAAAACACGATATGGACTAGTGTCTGTGAATATTAAGCCGCGAAAAGACAATTTATGAATCCTGCACATTCTGCGTGTCTGTGGAAATCAGGCGCGGACTGGACATCGGGAGAACCGGGACCACTTCCGGTGGCCTGGCAGCCGATTTGGGCCGCTGTTTTAATATTATTATTGTATAATTGCCTGCCGAATGTACTAAAGCGATTATTCCCGAATTCGCCATTCAATAATTAAATCTCGAATAAATCATGAATCGGTTAGTCGTGACTGGCTTCGGCTCTGCGCCTCCGCCAAACGGTTTGGATCAGAGTAATCA